AAATTTAAATTTAAATTTCTCAGTCACACAAGGCAAATTTCAAGTGCCCCATGGCCACACATGGCTGGTGGCTCCCATGTTAGGCAGGGCAGTATTGGACATTTCTATCATCACAGAAAGTTCTATTGGACAGCGTCACTCTAGACCAAGGTCTGAGCACTGGGTGAACACATGAAGGCATCTCCCAAGTCCTCTGTCTCCAACATCCCCGGAAGAGGGAGTGAAGAAGGAACCAAAGGCCACGTGTGTCAGAAGCACCCAGCAGGCTCTGAAGCCCAGAGGGCTGAGATCTGACGCCTGTGGGGGGGGAATCAGGAGTGTGCACAGAGCCTCTTCATCCGCCCAAAACCGGGAAATGCAACCACTTCCTTGTGGCCACTTCCACGTCCATCCCCTCTCTGTATCCAGCAGAAAGGCATTATTTCCTGGAAATTTGATGACCACAAACCAGTGACCACAATCTAAAGCCAAAAGCTGAAATAATATTTAGATAACCCTAGAGAAACGAGCCCCGGCAATATTGAAAAGGAAGAAGGAGATGATACACACACATCTGGCTACATGCACGTATAATGTGTATATTTTCCAGAGAGAAAAATCGGGGCCCCAGTCAGGAAGCCACAAAGGGTCAAGATCAGCAGAGAACTCATCAAAGAGGCCAAGGGGATGATTCCCACCACACGAAGACCATCCCCAGAGGCCTTGGGGAGCGCCCTGGGGTAAATCACCGAGCAGTGACCGCCCAGTTCTGGGCGCTTCAGCACCAGAGCTCAGCAAAAGAAAACCGTCAGACTTCACGGATTTGATCACCTTCCCTCCAAAACCAAATTTTAAAAAAGGACAGATAGATAAGAGACCCTGTTTTAAACTCCAGCATCTCCAGCCTCCATTCCATGGCGACTTTCAGTAAATACTTGCCAAGGGCTCCCCCTATAGGCCAGGGGCTGAGCTGCTGGGCACACAGGCCCTTCTGGGCACAGGCCAATGCCTTCTGTGTGCACAGGTGGGCACTCCTCAAACACAGTCATGCCTAGGAGAGCTTGAGGAAACCTCTCTTACCAGTCTACTGCAGGGAATGAGATGGATTTGTATACTGAGAGAGATGAGATGAAGACAAAACCTGCAGGATATATATTCTATGACCCCATTTTAGCAAGTACAGCAACAAAGGGAAACAATTTAAATGTAAATAGGAACGATGTGGCACCCTAGATTGGATTCTAGAACAGACAGAGGAGATTAGTGGAAAAGCTGGTGGAATCCAAACAGATTTTAGAATTTAGTTAATAGTAATGTATCGACGTTGTTTTCTTAGATTTGACAAGCATCCAGTGGTAATGTATGATGACGGGAAAGTGGGTGAAGGGTTTATATGGGAACTGTACTATCCCTGCAATCTTCCTATAAGCCTTCAACTTTACCAAAGCAAAATGGTTATTTAAGAAAACAAACAATAGCCCTGGCCAGTTTGGCTCAGCAGAGCATCAGCCCACGGACCAGTGAGTGGCGGGTTCGATTCCAGCCAAGGGCACATACCTCGGTTGTGGTTCGGTCCCCAGCCCTGGTTGGGGTCATACTGGAGGCAGCCAGTCTATGTGTCCCTGTCACATCGATGTTTCTTTCTCTCCCTCCCCCTCTATCTGAAGATAAATAGAAAGAAAAAAAAATCCTCAGATGAGGATTAAAAAAATAATATAAAAAAATAAATAAATAAATAAATAAGAAATGGTTTAGACTTCTGTTCCATCTCTGAGGTCAACTTTGGAAAGGCCTGGGTTTTTATGCTGTTTGGAACTTTGGTTTCTGAAATTTGCACCTAGCTTTGATGGGCAGAACCACTTTGTACTGAAAGCACACAGGATCCATCAGGGCCTGGGGTGGGTGGGGGTCCGTCAGAGTCCAAACAATTGTTTGGGTTAAAAAACAGAACAAACAGAACCGCAGCCTGGGCTGGCCTTGAGGCCTGTGCCTGGACAGTCCCCACTCTGGGCTCACTGCCACGCTGTGCTCCCGGACACGTGCAAGGAGCACAGCCAGGCGAAGGCGAGCGGGAAGCCCTGGAAAGTGACGTGATCCAACTCACGTTTCTTAGGGGGCACTCCGGCGGCTACGTGAAAATGGAGTGACGGGGGTAAGTGATAAAGCAAGGAGACGGGGAGGGGCTGCTGCAAGAGCCTGGACCACAGTGCTGGTGCTGGGGACAGAGCGGTGGACAGGTCTGCAGTGTGCCTTGGGCAGAGCCCACGGGGCTCACGAAGGGACTGCACCTGTGAGAGGGGCCTCGGGGCTTGTGAGCAGCTGGGTAGATGACGCTCCTCTTCTGGGAGGGGGAGGACAGGCTGGAAGAAAACGTGCCTGTGCGCATGGAAAGGGAAGAACAAGAGCTCTGCTCGGAACATGTTAGCTTCAGTGCTGCCTCACCATCTCCAAGTCGCTGCAGAGGTCACTGGGCAGCTGGAGACCTTCCTGCTGTCTCACCCTGACCCTCCCCGTCCCCACAGAGCTCTGGGCTCAGACCCTGCCCCAGTCCTCCACGCCAGGTGACATGGCTCCCAAACCACATCCAGCTTTTGGGCTCTCCCGCCTGCCTGACCCCCGCATACAAAGGAGCTTGGCCCTCATTTACCCCCAGCTCTGACACAGCACTCATGCCTTGGTGATTCAAACATCACCTGGCTCAGTACCCGCTACGCCTCTGGGACTGGTGGGAAGGCCCTTGTCCTGGCTGCCACCACAGGGCGCGCCAGGGCCAAACAGCCCCTGCAGCTGGCCTCCCTGGTACTGGCTTCGCCCTGGGCACACCTGAGTCATCTGCACACTTCAGGTTTCTGGAGATCCAAGGGAACTCCTTCAAGAAGCTAAGTCATCTATCTGCCAAAGATGTCTTAGGCCCAAGAAAGGAAGTTAGAAGGCACAGTTTGGAGTGCAGCAGGCCCAGTCTGACTGTCCCTGTCACTAGCTCGGGGACCCTGGTAGAGCCCCGTGGCCTCTCTGAACCCAGGTCCCCATCTGTCAAGCAGGGACGATGGTGATGAGATGCTGGACAAGTCACCGCCTTGTGGGGCCCCATCCTCAACTGTGAGCTACAGACCCAAGTGCGAGGAGCAGCGGCTTTCCGTCTCTGAGGTCTTAAGGGGACGGGGGGTGAATGCTGAGCTTGGGCGGGGGGCTAACGGGACCATTCAACTCTCTATAGTCTCCAAGTCCATGGTTTTAAATCTGTTGTCATGGAGGAACCGTTACATGTTTGGAGCTCCTGCCTGCACGGCAGAAACCTGTCAGGCAGGTCAGTGGGCAAGAAGGATGGAGAGATGCAGCTCATCGTGCCTTTTATGTGCAACTTAATAATCTCAAGGAAACTCCATCTCACAGAGCACGTTCCCTAACCTTCACACAGGCCAACTCCTTTCCGCCCACTTCTCCGAGGCTGATGTGTATCACAAACACGAGGGCCGCTGGGGCTGGGGCCGGGAGCCAGCAAGGCGCTGTGAGCTCCCCTGTGGACCCCCTCCCCACCCCCTCCCCGGTGACAGGAACTTCCACACTCATGTCACTTCCTGCCCAGGAATCTCTCCTAGGGAAAATCCCTAAGAGTAAAAATAGCTTCAGAGATAATATTAACCACTGTGTTATATATAATAACCAACAACTGGAATTAACTTCTACCCAGTAAACTGTATCACATACTACACTCAATCAACCATTATGCAGCCACTTAAAGGGGGGGGGGGTGCTAAGCATGAGAATACAGGAAAATGTGCGGATTAGTTTATCAAAGGACAAAAGCAACAATCTAAAAATGTTTATTCAGGATGATGTAAACCAGTATTACCCAATAGAAACAGAATGCAAACCACATCTTTAAATCTTAATTTTTGAGTAGCCATATTTTGAAAAGTAGAAATTAATTTTAATAACATTTTAACTTATATCCAAAACAGTGTCATCAACATGTACTAAATATAAAAGGTTACTAAATATTTTTCTTTCCTTTTCCTGCGCCACGTCTCCAGAACGCAGCGCACGGGCGCGTCCACACCTTTGGGATCGCGGCGCCTCTCGGCGCGGACCTGCCGCGTGCCCAGCGACGGGCCCTGCTGGCTAATGCCTACCTCATGAGACTGCACAGCTCTCACCTGTCAGAAACATGTTAAAGAACTTAAATAATAGAAGAAAAAGACTAGAAAGAAAAATCAGAATCTTAATGATCATCGACTTTCTGCAAGTGGTGGAAATAGGAGTGGCTATTTCTGTTTTCTAAAGTATCTCCACACAATGTATTCAGATTGCTTTTAAAACAACAGCAAGAGCCAATCTTTTCTTTTAGAAGGAAGGGGTTTAAAGACCTGCCTGGGTGAACCACACCTGCCAAGCACTGATTGATTCATGCCCATGGGAGCGGTCCCGTGCCCCCTCCCCGCAGAGGGTACGCGCCCTGGGCAAATTAGTTAGTTGGCAGGTTGGCTGGATGGATGGGATGAGGGAACAAAGGAGGAAAACGGTATAACACAGCTGTTACAAGAGAAATTAAACTCAGATCCTTGTTTCCAAACCCCAAAGCTATCACTAGCTGTACGGTTTTAAACAAGTCCCTAACCACTCTGTGCTTTCATTTCTTCATGTATAAAACGGCGCTGGTGACAGTAACGCCTTCACAGGGCTTGTGAGACCCAAGTGAGATTATCTCTACAGAGTGTTCAGCACAGTGTCTGTCGCGCGGCCAAGGTTTCCAGAAATGCTGGCTGCTGTCCTTACGGTGAGCCAGTAAAGGACCGGTGTGGTCAGGCTGCCTGACTCACAGAGCAACGGCACCCAGGACACATGCTCCAGCCACACTTACCCTGGTCCCTCCTGCTGCTGTCCCCGTACCCTCCCTTCCTGGGAGTGGACAGCACTGCCCCCCAGTCACAGCCACAGTGGAGCTGTCCTGGGTTTGCATGTGGTCCCTTTGGCTGACCCGCCCCGTACCCCAGCCCGAGCCAGCCCGGTGGCCCGCGTACCTGCACCACCTCTGGCCTCACATTGAAGGTGTACAGCCAGTCACTGAAGCGAGGGTAGCTGTTGAGCTCCGGGGTCCTCTCAGCAGGGGCCACGCTCAGCTTGCACTGCCGTTGCTTGCAGATATACCGGACCAGCTTGGCCTGCGGGAGCCCAGAAAAGAAAAGGAGGTTCATTCAGGGCACATGCCTGCTAGAGGGGGGCTCTGCAAACTGGAGCGTGCTAAATCCCCCTTTGCTGCCACTTCGAGATGCTGAAGCAGGAAAAAGGGGAGAGGAGAGAGGAGAAGGGTCTGGGAGGGCCGGCAGAAAACCTGGAGGCCACCCATAACCCCCACCCCACCCACAGATGGCTGACCATGGTCCTCGGAGGGGGACTGGCAGCACTGGTCAGAATGGAGACCGGGGGCAAACATAAGAGGGACTTCCTGCTGCAGTGGGGGAGGTCAGACTGGGGAGGGAGTTAGTAATTGACGATAGGGAAGATGTGGGGAGTTGAGGATGACGGGTAACCTTCCACTCAGGACGCATCCAGCCTGGAATCAGACGCCCTGTGTTGGCTTCTGGGGGTTCAGGCACACCCTAGCCCTGTGACCTTAGACAAGTTACCTGACGCCCCATCCCCAGAAGTCTGTTTCCTTCTCCAGAAAATGGGGATAATAACAGAACCCCCCGCTCAGGGAGGCTGAGAAAAAAGAAAATATCAGTGCGTGTCTGGCCCACGCACGCTGACTGCCTCCTGGGCTACAGCACCGCTAGTGAGGGGCCACGGCTCGGGTCCAACAGTAGGCTGGCAGGACCCACACCCCGAAGTGTATGCAAATCTCCAACATGTGAGTCTGTGCATTTTCCAAGCGAAAAGTGCCCACAGCTTTCACAAGACTAAAACTTCAAGTACAGTAAGTTTCAATAAGGTCAGCCTGATGTTTTCTTTGACAAACACTGGGCTCCATCTGGGTGGCCCCCTGGACTGAGGAATGAAGAGGGGGGAAGATGGACGGCACAGCCCAGGACCGATTGTAGAGAAGGGGGACTGGACCCCAACACATGGAAATGAGCACACAATCTGAAGAAGACCAGGGTCCTGGCTCGGCTGAGATCGGGTGACCCCGGGACCCAGTGAGAGCTGCCAAGATGTTGACCAGACTCTAATGGCCGCATCTTAGTGACTTTCAAGCTTCCCCAGAAGGCCAGCACCACCTGCAAAGTCTTGTACAGAAACCCAGCCTTCGAGTCACTTCCCAGTCCTACTGCCCCGCGGAGGGTTGTGGCGCTAATTCATTCCTTTACCTGCCATCTGTAAGCACCTCAGAATATGTCTCTAAACAGCACAGTGATAATACTAAAAAGTAATTAATGATCATCATAATTTTAACTGTCAAATATCCAGGAAGGCTCCCAATATCCAAAGAGGAGTTCTTGACCATTTTTTGTACCACGGACCCCTCTGGCAGTCTGGGGAGGTCCATATCACTAAGAATAGTGCTGTTTTTTTTTCCACCCCTTTATTGATTTTAGAGAGAGAGGAAGGGAGAGGGAGAGAGAGATAGAAACATCGATGAGAGAGGACATCGACTGGCTGCCTCCTGCATGCCCCCCACTGGGGATCAGGCCCACAACCTGGGCATGTGCCCTGACCGGGAATCGAACCGGTGACCTCTTGGTGCATGGGTCAGTGCTTAACCACTGAGCCACACTGGCCAGACAAGAATAGTGCTTTTGAGTGTGTAAAACAAAACACTTAGGATAACAAAGGAAATCAATTACATGTAAATACATTCATGAGAATATTACTTAAAATTGCAATAGGGTACTAAAAGTGTCCTCATTAAAGCAGCGACTCGAACTAGCAGAGGGTCTCCTGGTTTCCACAACGTCGAAGCTGCGCCTCTTCAAACAGCTCCACAACGGTAACGTGATCTGGAAGCAGCTGTGATGTGTGCTGGTGACCGAGTCACACTTGCCAGGACAAGTGTGCCTTGTGGCCTACCTCCAAGTTGAACAACAGACTGAATTTCAGGTAAGATTCATGAAAGTAAAGGTACCAGCGTTCCTCTGCAAAGTCACGATCCCTGAATTCCCGCTGCAGACTCCAGGGAAAGGCCCCGCGGCCGGAGGAGCTGTGAGGTGTGACCCGAGACCCATGAGGACGACAGACCACTGCTCCTGCAGCGGCCCTCCTGAAATCGCCCCCAGAAACCTGTTTGGTCCCGAGCTCACGATCTGCTCGATACGGGGCGCTGGCCCGCTGGTGTGGCCCCGCGCTCAGCGAAGTCTTGCTACCTTCAGAGGGCTCAGTGGCAAGTGAAGGTAAACGCTAGGAGAGGGAGCAGCGTCCGAACACAAATAATTCCACTCAGGTGTCCAGTTCCCATGTTGAGTGAAACCTAGCCAGAAGCAAACCCATGGCGTGCCCTCGGGGACCCAGAGCAGGCATCGCTAATCAGACATTCTCACCTGGGGCGGGCATTCCCAGGCTGCCACACAGAGTGGATCTGTGTCCTATTAATGAGCCCAAGGCCCTGGCAATGTCTTCAGAGCATGGAGCTCACACACGTGAAGCCACAAATGCCTCTTGTATCCTAAAGGCCTAAGTAGAGGTACCCGTGCCCCTCATCTAGGCTCACCCCACTCTGGTCCATCCCTTCCAGTGTGACCAGAGGCCAATTCCAAAATCAGGGCTCCATCCTTCTTTTCAAGGCTCATCTCCACTCCACCCCGGCCTGTGCTGCCCTCCGGGTGCACGCTCACCTAGGAAACATTCCTGAAACATGTCCTATACTTTCCTACCCCCTGGACCTCTGCTCAAACCGTCTGCTCCGGCCAGAAGCCATTGCCCTCCTCCAGCCCGCCTCCAGCCCGCCTCCCCGTCCGAGCCACCGTCTGCGTCTCTACGGCAGCCCTGTCACAGCCAGCCTAGTCGAGCCTCTGGCGTGGTCTCCCGGGGGCAGTGGACATAGAACAGGCTTTGGCGTTTAACAGAATCTGGGTTCAAATCGAGGTTCTGCCATTTACCAGTGGTGTGACCCTAAGTTCACTGATTTTTCTGAGCCTTGGTTCTCTCCCCTGTACAACAGGAATGATAACATCCAGCCCACGCACGGCCTAAGGGAGGACTGAACTACAGTATGGAAACCCCCCAGTGACTAGGTTAGTCCCCCATCAGTACACGTCAGGGCGGAGGCAGTGTCTACCTCTTTGTGACTGTCCCCACTGGCCTATTACTCAGAACATGTGCTCAGAAACCCTAAGGGAGAAAGGAGGCAAGGAAGCTCATTGGCCTCATCCCCACATTAAGATGTTTCTCGTCGCCAGTCCTTCCCTCCACTCCAGACTGAACTCAAGCCATGGCTTCAAAGAGCTGAGCAAAGACGGCAATAAATCCCATAACGGTGCCAAGTCAAAAGCATTCTTTTCCACGCTAACCCAAGAGGTCAGGCTGCTGGTCCCAGCAGCAGCAGCAGCAGCAGCAGCAGCAGCAGCAGCAGCGAGGGCCTTCGTCACTGGCATGAGAGTTTCCAGGGCCATAACCCTGGGAGCTGATTAATAACACATCCATTCTGCATAAGACTCTGGCCATCACAGGTCAAATCAAGACCAGCCAATCTGACCTCCACCATGAGCCAGCGTTCGGGGCTCTCCCTAGTTCAGCCCCCCCTTCGGCGTGTCTAGACATTTTCAGCCACCAGCCCTCTGCCTTCAAGGTTCTTCCCGGTAACCCCTCAGTCCCCACAGCTCAGCCTCGATAGCCTTTCCTCCAGGACGCTGTCCCCAAGCCCTCCAGCCCTGCTCCTTAGCCCCCCGCCCTCTCCTCCATCAGATCACACATTAAGGTTCTAATATTTTACTTGTCTGCTTCCTTCCTTAGACTGTGCACTCCATGGGGCCAGGTGCGTGGTCTGTGTTCTTGCTCCAGACATTTGAGGGTCACTGCTAGATCCCCAGGAACCAGCTCAGTACCTGGCACGTGGTTTGCTACTGTACAACCTTTGTTGAATAAATAAATGAACACGTAACACATTTTGTACTCTCAGCGGGTGCACACATTTACCAAATGACAATGGAAAACAAATGCCAATCGGGCAAGTGACGACGCAGGAGCCTGCGAGTCTCAAAAACCAGGGCAAGTTCCCCAGGAGAGGAGCGAGCGTTTCTTTGTTCAGAGGCTGAAAAGTCCCTGCTGGACGGCCCAAAGCAGGCCTGTGGGGAGGACTGTGCGGAACTGGAAATGATCCCTCACTGCACCCACTTCAAACCCACGAGCCTGGTGGGCAGAGGCCTGTGCCCCACTGGCCAGCAGTCGGTGTCCTGTTGGCTGCCACCTCCCGGAGCTCGTAAGGAAGACATGAAACCTGCAGACCAGGGTTCTGCTGGAGGAGCATAGCTGTTCGCATTCTCCACGAATGGGGTGCAGCTCACATCTGAGCAAAACAAGGCTGCTCTCACTTTTTTGGAAAGTGAGTCATAGTCACAGAAGCACCCAGGGGCTACTTTCCCAGAGAAACCATGGTGGGGCCTGCCAGCCCAGCCCAGGGGCCTGCCAGGGGGCCTTCCGTGGGCAGAGTCAACTCTTCACCACAAAACCACAAGATATAAATTTTCCAGGAAAAGCACCCAGGGTTTTAGCAACTGGAACCAGAGCAGGAGGGAAAGAGTCCTTGGTACTCTGGCCCAAGGGGAGGACCCCAAGCTGAAACTAAGTCTCACCCCACCCCAAGATTCTTTGGCTTTGGGAGTGTGTGCCCCTCATTGCTCTGACACTCAGCCTGGTTTATAGAAAGAGCAGAGGGCCATCAAGCCAGCCCACAAACAAGTGATGGGTATTACCCACACATGGCACCCAGCAGGCGCTAAGTGCCCTAGGCTAAAAGATCTAGGTCCCAGCTCTGACATTTAGGTAAGGATCTCAGGGAAATCCCCCTTAGCTGAGCTTCAATCCCACCCTCTATAAAAAGGGCATCCTTGCCCTGGCCGGTTTGGCTCAGCGGTTAGAGCATCGGCCTGCGGTCCGGAGAGACCCGGGTTCGGTTCCCGCTAAGGGCACGTACCTCGGTTGCAGTTTGTCCCCGGCCCTGGTTGGTCATGTGGGTGGCAGCCACTCGATGTGTCTTTCACATCGATGTTTCTCTCTCCCTCTCTCTTCC